TGGAGGGGCATGGACAGGGCGGGGGGATGAGGAGGGTGTCCAGGGCTCGTTCCAAGGATGCTGGGAGGTCTCATCCCCAGCCCAGGGGGTGATGGGAGGGTGGCCCCTCTTTATCGTGGGGGTGCCAGGGGAGCCTGGAGAGGAGGCCCAAGCCCAGGGGTGCTGAACAGGGCAGAGGTTTTACCCCACAAGTGCTGCCAGAAGACCCTGACCCACAGGGGGACCCCATACTGCGGGGTCAGGGGGGACACGAGGCGACAACCTGATGGTGGCAAAACTGGGGGTCCCCATTTTAATGGGACTGGTGGTGACACACTGGGGTGTCCCTGTCGCCGTGGGGCTGGGGGGTGACACTCTGGGGGCTCACTTGGCCAGCGGCCGGCGCGCGCGGTTGACGGCGTCCAGGTCGGCGTAGCGCAGGTCCAGCTGGCAGCCCACCAGCACGATGGGGGTGCGGGGACAGAAGTGCTTGATCTCGGGGTACCACATGGTCTTCACGTGCCTCAGCGAGTTAGGGTTTGCCAGAGAGAAGCACAGCACCACCACGTCTGATCTGGGGGGAGGAGGAGGAGGAGGGCAGCGCTGCCCCGGTGCCACCCGCTGTCACTCGGTGTCCCCAAACACGCCCTGCTCAGTCCCAGGACACTGTCCCCTGCCTGGGACCCCCCAGGAGCCTCAGCACCCCCTGGGAGCACCACAGCCATGGGAATCCCACAGATCCCCGGCAGCCACACGACCCTCTGGGAACGCCATGACCTCCGGGAGCCCCATGACAGAGGCAGGGACAGGGGACAGGAGGGACCCGACGGGACCTGGCTTCGGGCCACCACCCTCAGCCAAGTCACGGCTGCCCCAGCTTGGCTCGGCACCGTGCGGTCCCAGCCCCTGAGCACCCATGGGGGGGTCCCAGGGGGGTGGCTGGGTGGGTGCCAGCCCCCAGCACCAGGGACAGACCACGCCTGCTGTCCCCTGCTGTCCCCGACCCTGGTTCAGGGGGTGCCAGGGGACACGGCAGGGGTGCCAGGGGACACGGCGGGGGTGCCAGTACCCCCAAGTCCCCGGAGCAGCCGCGTGGCCCCGGGCCCGGGTTGTTTTTAGTCCTCGCCGGGACGGGACGTGACCGGGAGGCGCCGCTGGAGCCGGGCCCGTGTCCCAGACCAAGATAGCCACCACCGGCCCTCCGGGGGCCCCCGGCCAGCCCCGGAGCCACGCGGACCCCGCCACCCCAGCCCCCCCCAGCCTCCCCAGTCCCGGGGGGCTCCCCACCCGCGGGCCCCGCCGTGCCCCGGGGAGATTAGAGGTGCTGGCGTGGGGCGGCGGCGATAAGAGCCCGGACGTGCCGGCGGCCACGGGGACCGGCTGTTTACAACCGGAGAGCCACGGGAAGTCTGGGGGGGCCCCTCCAGCGCCCCCGGGAAGGGTTCTCGTACCACAAGAGCCCCTCTGGAGCCGCCCCCCACCCACAGCTCCGGAGGAGCGGCCGGGTCCCTGCTCGGGAAGGGGTTTGGGGGGTGCAGTGTTGGGGTCAGGGTGCCCCCAGAGCTGTCTCCGGAGGGGGATGGGGGCAGTCCAGCCCCTCCCCGAGGGTTCGGGGTGCCAGAGCTGCTCTCTGGGCGCTGGCAGGAGCCCAAGGGGCTCCTCTGGCTCTGTGCATCCCGGGATGGGCAGGGCTCGCGGTCGGGGTGCTGCTGGTGGGGGCTGGGCTGCCCGTGACAGGAGCCGGGGTGGCGGGCGGGGGTCTCGGGGGTGCCGGTGGCGGGGGTCGGGGGAGTTGTGGGAGGGGGTGGGTTCTCCGGTGGCGGGTCGCGGTCCCACCTGCCATAGGCGAAACGCCGGTCCTTGTGGTGGTCCCCGAAGGTGTCCCAGAGGCGCAGGGAGACGCTGACCTCGTCCACCACATCCCGGGAGCGCTCCAGCACCTGCCGGTACCGGCACCGGCACCATCACCGACCGCCCTGCCCGGAACCACCGGTACCACCCCGGGGTGCCCCCGCTACCCTCTCGGTGACCCTCTCGGTACAGGGCGTCCCCCGGTGCTCGGTACCCCCTATCGTTCCCCCCCCCCGCCCCGGCGATGCCCGGTACCCGGTGTCCCCCGGTAACGCCCCTCCCGCTGCTCCCCCGCTCGGTGTCCGGCGGTGCCTGGCGGTGTCCCCCGGCCTCACCTCCTGGCAAACGCGGTACTGGTCGATGGCCCACACGGTGGGCACGTGTGTGGCCAGCAGCCGGTACTGGCTCAGCGTGGCGTTGCAGGCGCGGGCGCAGATCAGCCGCGTCTTGCCCACCGCGTTGTCGCCCACCACGACGCACTTGATGGTCTCGACGTTGGGGCGCTCGTAGTCCACGTCGGGGTCCATGGGGGCGCGGGGGGCCCCGGGCAGCGGAGCGGCCCCGCTCAGCGCCCCCC